TTGCAATGCAAACAGTTTTATTTCTGTAGATCCTGGCAGCTAGAAACTTCTAGGAAAGACCCCTGCAGACCCAGAAGGGCCGGTAACGCAACCCTCTGCGATCAGGGTCCGTTTCTCTAGTACAGCAGGGCCCAGAACTCTCCCTCCTCGGAACAATGTCCCCCTCTGTGGAACACAAACCACCGTGCTCACCTGGTAAGCTTTGTCACAGATGTCACAGCTGAAGGGCTTTCCTCCGACGTGGGTCACCATGTGCCGCTCCAGGAGGGACGGGGCGCTGAAGACTTTGGCGCAGCTCGGGCAGGGGTGGTATTCCCGGGAATGGGCCTCGAGGACGTGCTGGCGGTGCTCCTGCAGGGTGCCAAAGCTCATCCGACACTTCTTGCAGTCATAGGGATCCTCAATATCTGCCCCCCGAGCCGCAGTAAAAGCAAGGGATAAAGAAATGGAGAGGAAAAAGAGTTAAGAGGACATTTCACGGCGGGAGGAAATAAATGGGAAGAGAGGTGTTACTTCTCAGGCAGAAATCAGCACTTGAGTTCCAGTTTGCATGCAGCTATTCCTATTCCTGCTTGCCTACAGCTGCTGGCAGTGGATTCCCTCATGAAACACTCCGGCTGCATCTTTAGGACAATCCCACCCCCAGGATCGACCCGTGGAGCAGCCTCGTTTTGAGGGGCGGGAAGGAAACGGCTCCAGGCGCAGCGGGCGCCGGTCCCACTCACCGTGGAAGGTGCGGAGGTGCACGGAGAGCCCGTTGGCCTGGCGGAAGCCCTTCCCGCACTCCCTGCAGACGTAGGGCTTGTCCCCCGTGTGCGTGCGCACGTGGCGCGACAGCTCGATGGACTGGGCGAACACGGCGTCGCAATACTGGCACGCAAACATCTTCCCTGCAGCGAGAGCCACGCTCAGAGCCCGGCTCGGCCTGCACCAAGCCCACATTGGGAGGGAAAGAAGAAAAAAAAGGGACAGAGCCTGCAAGCTGTAGAGGCTTTCCTGGGGCAGCTGCATCAAGCATTGGCATGGACTTAAAGGCAAAGGGAAAAGCCTTGCTAGCGCAAATACATGGAGGTAATGCTGGTCAAAACAAGCTTTCCTACTGCTTTTCACCTGTGCAATGCCCTGAAGCCTCCCTGGATTTCTTATAAACATAGCAAGGCATCCTCTGTTCCCAGCCTAAGCCTTGGCTACAAACAGAGCAGGTGGCAGGGATGGGAAGAGAAGCAGGGATATGGAAAGCTACTTGCAATTCAATCACATATTTCAGGGTATTTTGCAAAACACACTGAATTCTGGCAACGGCTTTCAAAATACAAGAAAAAGGCATTTAAAAAAAGAACAACTTAATTGTTTGCAACCTTTAAATCAAGACTCATTTTGGCAGGTTAGGGCAGAACGAGCATCAGGTGGGCAAGGGCACTTCCAGGTGTGATGGCTACGTGGGGCTGGGGAAGGGCAGAGCACCAGGGGAAGGCAGGAGGAGGTGCAGGCTGCACAAGCGCTTGGCCTTTCTGCTTAGGAAGCAGGAGGCAGCAGAGATTCAAGTCGGGAACAGCAGGCTGGAGGGCAAAGTGCTTAGCAGAGCCAAGGGAGGCAAAGGAGCAGGCAGGGAGATGTTATACCCAGAGGAAGGGAGCGGAGGAAGCAGGACAAGCACGGAGCAGCACGCGGACGGCAGAGCAGGGGTGCAGAGGAGAGGGGCAGTTCCACCGAATAGAGCAAAACACTGGCTGGGGGCTAATGGGAGAACCTGGGAAGCTGAGACAGGGCAGCAGAGCAGGGACTGAGCTGGGACAGCAGCCAAAACACACACGGGTGAAGAGGGTCTGTGAGCAGACTGGTGCCAGGGGCTCTCACCAAGGATGAGGGCTGGCAGAGCAACCAGGTGTCAGAAAGATGCCAAAAAGCAGGGGAGGAAGGGGCGGATGGGCTCCCGCAGCCCCAGGGACACGCTCACCCTCCGAGTGCTTCTTCTTGGTGTGGTAGGCCAGGGCCGAGGCCTGCGAGAAGGTGAGCAGGCAGTGCTTGCACGCGAAGGGCCGGTCCCCGCTGTGCAGCCGCGCGTGGTTCTTGAGCGTGGAGTTGGCCGCGAACCTGGCGCCGCACTCGGCGCAGGAGAAGGGCTTCTCGTCGAAGTGCTCCGTCAGCTTGTGGTACTGCATCCCTGCGGCACGGAGGCGACATCAGGCCCTGCATGGGGACCCAGTCCTGGCCCCCCACTGCGAGGGGACAGATTTAGGCCAGCAGGGAACCCCCGGGCAGCGTGCCCTAGGGCCACTGCCCCCCAGCCACAGCGGGGACGGCAGCCCCGGCACCTGTCACTGCTACTGCTAAAGCAGCCGAGGAGCTGAGCAGCACCATTACCCTTGGAGGCGTTTAAATTTGCCAGGAGCCCCAGTCCTCCTTGATGAGCCATGTGGAAAAGCAATTACGGAGGAACTAATCAGGCAGCGGCTGCGCTCAGCGGGGCAGGAGGAATGAGCGGAGCGTCGCTTCCCACGCTCGGAGCCGCGGGAGCGCGGCGGGACCGCGAGGAACGGGGCAGAACCACGGGC